CTCCAAAAGATATTTGTCAGTTGGGTATAGAGTTATGAAAGTTTGAAGTCAGATGACCTAGAAAGGTTGCAATTACAGCAGCCTTTGGAGATACAACCCGCAGATGAAACTGATCATTTCGTCAATGATGAAGACGATTGGAGCCAACTTAGTTCGACTAGAGAACTAGGCCATGAGTTTAAAGACTTCAATAATCGAATTGTTACTATTGGAAATAGCATACTTCCTAGTCAGCTATATCGTAATTAGTGAAGAGAGCATGGTAATTTTCAGGGTCTCCAGGTGTTTATACCTTTGAAGAATACCTGACATTGCAAGTTATAATTATAGAAGTACATAGTGGCATAATAAATAGATGTAATCGATGAACACTCAGATGTGGAATATAAATATTGAAGTGCCTCTCAAGCTTTTAGACACCATCAAGCAACAGAAAAGAGACCTTAACCATATAATATTATTTTTACAATTCTATCCTACTTTACCTATTCTACTTCGCTCTTACAAGTCATAAATAACAAGAGTGAAATCTAATCTTTCTTAGACAATCTCCATCTACAGAAATGAATCTTGGTTGGCCTAGACATTTCTGAAATCTATCAGGTTGTTTCCGCCTAACCGTTACCCATGGACCTCAGCAAACTAAGATATCTCCTGGTGGAGCAATTTACAATGCTGAAAATCCCTATCCTTGAATTTCAAGAGACTGATATCTTTCATATTTATCATGTATGCTGTACAGGAAATCTGTCAATTCAGAACATTGGAGAATGAAATGATTGGATCTGGATCCAGGTTACTGTATCGGATCTGTATGGGGATCTGTATGTGCACACTGTAGCATGCTTGTTGGGACTATTTAACATATGAAATATCCAAGCTGAGACAGTTAGTCAGCTAGCAATGGTTCAAGTACTGGAGTCCCTTAATGGTGGCAGATTTCATGAGTTTAGCAGACATATAAAAGTCCACAAGCTGACTACTGGGAGGGATGTGATGATAATTGAGATAGGTATTATCCCGAACGTGGCTTGGCATGAAAAAGGTTTTCACGTAACACATGGTTATGAGTCACAGGTATGTTATTGTTTCACACATATGACTCATTTGAGTCATATGATTGGTTATGTATGGGATTTGTGATACTTTTGCACTTGGCTCAAATATGAGTCATGGGACATGCACCTGGCGAAGGTGCCTTGCGAGTGTGCCTTGCGGGTATGACTTGCGCATATGATTTATGTTTCACACATGACCTCATTATGAGGTTATGGGTTTCACACATATGACTCAGTCGAGTCATATGACTTGTTTATTGTGTTATGATTGGTTTATGAGTTTTGCACATGACCTCGTTATGAGGTCATGGGTTTTGAGCATGTGACAATTTTGGTCACATGATTAGTTTGTTATGATTTGATTTCACACATGTGACCACTTTAGGTCACATGACTACAGGTGGGAAGAACACTATATAAGGAGGCCGATACGGCCGAGGAGGATAGGTTCTTCACCCATTGTTCTAAGTACTTTTCCTACTTATTACTTTAACGAATATAAACACCTTTACGATCTTTATCTTTATTGCAACATTATCATTACACCAAGGAAAGTTCTTTACGAAGAAGAGTTAGGGAAAGCTCATGATAGGCGTTCCCGATAGAAGATAAAGATCTTGTACTATTGGTAATGTAGGCAGTGGCCTAGTGCTATCATAATCCTAAGGAAAGACACAAAAAGAAAAGAGAAGTATTGTTCCCCGTCGCAAAGAACTAACTATCCGAGGATGGATCATTACAGGTATGGTGGTAGGACAAGTACATGTGATTTGCTACAGAGATGGGCAATGGCTAGTGGATAGCAGAATTGATATACAGACATTTAATTAAATTTATTGAGAGTTTCTATGTACATATAAGACCGCAAAAGAAAAGATAAAAAAAACAATAAAAAATACAATGTAGATCAACTGGACATAGATGGTGGTGATAGATCTGTGAGAGGATATGTGCAGTTCTTGTTAATTGATTCCGGGGCAGCGCCAGATGGAATTGGAAAATTAACAATCCCTGATTGACAGCTGAGAAGGGTCATCAGGAGAAAAAATTGATAGTCAAGTATCAGAAGTCCCTGGGTGGCCAGCAGATGTTAAAGAAAATCTGGGACTGCAGAGGGCAGAAGAGAAAGAGCAGGATTACGGTGGACACAAAAGGATGAATTTGGTACACGTCAAGCAAGAAGAGCAGATATAAGCCTTCAAGTAGAGAAAAATGAAACCAGAATGGTAAGAGTGGTGTCAGATGAAAGTGATATGAAGGGGAGAACCCAGACGAAAATTGTAGGTGTCTGTAGCATCTGGTGGAGAATGAGGAGGTAGTGCATGATGTAATGCAGTAGGCGTGGTCGGGCAACAAGGGTAGAAGTTAGGAAGGAGACGAGCAGGATGAGCTGGTTGGACTATTTCGATCTGGATGCAAGCCTGTTTCGTCACATGCAAACAATATTTTTACTGATGTCCTTTGACTCATAATCGTGAGTCATGTGAGATCCTCAGTTTACTCATATGAGTCAACTGTGCAACATACCTAAACCAATCATAATCCTTATCACAAGTCATATGTACTAAATGCATCACATGTATGAAACTCGTGACTCATAAGTATGAGTCACACACGAAAGTTATAACATCATATGACTCACAACTGTGAGTCATCGCATAATAATAAACCTCTATGACTCACAAGGGCAAGTCATGTGAAACTCTTTATTCCTCCTCATCAATCTGCCTTGTCACAATCCGGTTTGTAACACTCAGGTAGGTGAGAGAAAGGTTAGTCAAATGATGACTGGTTGTTTTCATGGTCAGAAATCTGGTCTCTTTCTTCCTGTTTTTCCTGATCCTAATTCTGCTGGTGGAGGGGTTACTGCAAAGTCTATTATTCAAGTTTATGATCAATATGATTTCCTAGGTATATGGAAGAAAATGAAGGAGGAAATGGAAGAGGAGGAAATTTTTTTGATTATTGACAATGCTAGAACCCATCTTCCCTTCTTGAGATAGCTTAGTTCTAATGGTGTTACTCTCAAAGAAATTCCCCCTTAAATACCGGATCTTAATTCTATTGATCATATTTGGTCTCTTATAAAAGCTAATGTTCATATGTATTACCCTGAGCTTTATCTTATAAAGGGACCAAAGGATGTGTTAGGAATACCAGAACCCGATACCTAGGGACCACTCTAAGTAGGGTAACCCCACTTGGAATCGGAATCTCTGGTCTTCAACACCCCCCTCCGGCTCCCTTACGGGGCCCGCGCGTCATCATATATATCAATCTCAGTTGCATCCTGTGACTACATTACCACAGAATTGAAGGTGTTAGAATAATACCGTATACATCGCCGCCATCCGTTCGACCGGATCCTGTTCACAGGATATATGAGAGGGGACCTTCGGTTAGGTCTGGGAAGTGGAACGGAGTAATTCCGTCAACTACTCAGAAGGTTACTAGGCTTCAAAGGCATGACACCTTTGGTGTGGGCCGTAAGTAATGGGACCATTTCGCACAATGAGATAGTATCAAATAGTAAAGGATCTCTACTAGAGACACATACAATTGCATACACCAGAAGAGTCTAGAACTCCAAAAAACACTACCAAAGAAGCCAACAAACTTCACAGAGTGTTGCAACTGGGTTTCGGAACACGTTGTAGTCATGGGGTGATTCTCAAATACAACGATGGTTACTGAAACCTACTACCCAAAGAGCAACCAAAGGTTGCCGACCGAGGGATTAATTACCAGTTTAGTGGAGTGGCTTCCTGCAAGTTAATAGGAAGTCATCCAAAGAAAATCTATCAGTTAGGTATGGAGTTACAAAGTGTTTGAATCAAATGACCTACAATGGTTATAATAATGACCACCTTTGCAGATATAACCGTGGATAAGACTGATCATTTTATCAATGGCGAAGACAATTGGAGCCAACTCAGTTCGACTTGAGAACTAGGCTATAAGTCTAAAGACTCTGCTAATCGAGATATTACTATTGGGGACAGTACGTTTTCTAAGAAGAAATATCGCAATTATCGAAGAGGGTGTGATGGTTTTCAGGGTCCACAGGTGTTCGCACCTTGGAAGAAAACTCGATGTTGTGAACTACGATTGAAGAAGTACATAGTTGTATGATAAATAGATGTAGTCCGCGAACACTCAGACGCGGAATATAAATATCAAAGTGCCTCCCAAGCTTTAAACATCATTAAGCAACGGAGAAGAGACCTTAACAATATAATATTATTTTTACGATTCTACCCTACCTTACCTACTTTACTTCACTCCTAGTAGTCATAAACGAAACGAGCCAAGTCCAAGCCTTCCTAGACAATCTCCGTCTACAAAAAACGAATCTCAATTGGCCTAGATAATCTTGAAGTCTATCAAGTTGTCTCCACCTAACAGGATGGGACCAGAAAGGCTATTGAAGCGACAGTTACTTTTTGTTGGGAACTTTTGGACTCCAATGTCTTTGATAGCTTGGCAGAATCTATGGTTCACAGGATTGAGGTAATTGAGGCAGATGGGTAGTATACAAAGTATTAATTAGGATTATGTATTTATTTTATTTCTAAATATTTTTTGTGTTGTGTTTTTGGTAGTGATTTGTTGAGCAAGTGGTGCTGAGAAGGGAGTGCGCGCCGTTGCGTCGGGATGTTCGGTTTCTTCTGCTAAGGTGCTATAGTATAGGTTGCGTAAGCACGGAGGTGATGGTAGATGCCGAAGGATGGTAATGGGGGCTGTCATCGATACTGGGGGATGGCATGCATGATGTTTAACTGTATTTTATTTTGTTTCAGTTGAGATGTCCGGAACTATTACAGAGTTTAGTTGGGGTGCATTAGTTTCGACGAAGGGCGTTCGAGTTTATTTGGCACCCCACCGTATAGTACAATTGCTTCCGTCTTCTCCGGGTATGTTAGCGACAGTGGAGTTACAGGCAACCGCAGTTATCATTATTCTCTCATCCCAACAGATCATTTCATTTAGTCCACATTTATCCGCTGCGCTCGCTCAAGATCTCTGATAGAAAAAACTCCGGCTCAAAGAAACACCAACCAATCCTACTCGTCCTTTATTTCCCTGGAAAATCACCGCCCCCTGCGGGTGCGTCCTCCACTAGTAGGCCCGATGCTGATCAGACTCATTTCCTGGCTTAGGAGGTAGTCTTCCCTGCTCATACCGGCCGTATTGATTGGGATTTTTGCGGGAAGAGGCGGAGCTGGCAGATGCTGCTTGTATCTACCTCCTCTTGGCTGGTCTGAATTGTAGCCATATCTGTCATTGCCCTTGGCCGGGACGAGAGCTCGGGAGTCCCTGTCTCTCTCCATCTGCCGCTCCCTTTCGCTCCCCGGGTTATACATGACCATTGCGCCAGGCCCAATCGAGTGCCTGTCACGCGAGCTGGCATGCTTCCGACTGTTACTAGGAAGGGCAGCCATACTCTGGGAATTCCTGAGCCTCTTTTGGAGTTTGGCCCTCTCCCGCTCCTTTTCACTCCGGCCAGGCTGGGGAGAAGGGGTCCGGATACTGACCTTCTTAGGGAGCGGTGGGGGAACAGGGCCGATAAGAGCTAATCTCTCTCCCCTCTTTGGCGGCTGGGGACTTGGACTCCTCTGTCTCCCCGTGCTGTGGCGACGATACTCGGCCGGCACCGGTGGAGGTGGGCGTGGGCTTCTGCCTCCTCGCCTTTCGGGTTCGGGGGCAAAGCTCTCAGGTGGCAGAACATCGGTACCATCCAAAACCCTGTTGGTCCCAGGAACAATCATCTTACTTGGTAGCTTCCCTCTCTTGGATTCCGCATTCCACCTTCTAGCAGTCTCTTCTGCTTGTTGGGGAGTGTTATAGGTGGGACCTGGGCCATTGATAGCAGCCTCTAGGGAGGCGCTGGGACCCGGGTTGATCAGATCGAAAGAATCGGGCGAAAAAGGAAGTCCATCGAATACTGGCTCGGCGGGAGGTACCGGCTTCCGCTCAGGAATAACCATAGCCACAGTAGAGTTCCGCCTGACCGAGCTTGTGGTCGCCCCAACTACAGGCACCACATCATCCCGCTCCCCGTGAATAGGCATAGGCTTGACCATAGGCGCGGTTCTCGGTTCACGGCCCCTTCTCACCGTCACCGGCCGTCCCACCACTTGATCTTCGGGAAGTAACTGCGGTTGATAGAGTTGCACGTCTTGAACCTCCTCGACCTGAGGCCTGTGGTAGTTCTGACTAGATCTATGCTGCATCGCCTGTGAGTGGGACAGAGGAGGACCCTCTATTTGCAGTGGCCCTTTAGACGTGTCCACAAAGCTCAATCTCCTCTCGACCTCAATTCTTCCAGACATTTGCTCCGCTACGAGTGGGTCAATACCGGGCACGAGACTGGGAGGAATTGGCATCCCATTCCTAGTGGGTGGAGTCTCAACCCCAACCGCAGGCATTTGCACCTCGAGAGCACGGGCGTTCATGTTGCTATGTGATCGTCGGTGGGCGAGTTGTGTAGAAAGCTCATAGCTTGGGAGCCCAAGATCCTCCTCTTCCTTCGTCTTCGGCGTGTGATTCCCCCAGTTCGGCTCATCAAAACGCGCTGAAGCAGGGCTGTGTCCGTGGGGTGGAGGGGGCGGAGGAGGAGCATCGTCTTCATCTCTGGAGTCCTCAAAAGAGCTTGCCGGACTAGGTCCATAGGGGGGTCCAGAACTCTCACCGTGGTAGGTGAGCGGACGCTCTCGTCGCAGATGGGCTGTTGAAGCAACCGCGTTTGGAGAATGCACATACTCGTCGTAGTCATCCTGCCCATGGTAACGAGTGCGAGGTCCGGGATAAGAACCACCGTATTGATCCTGAGCCGACAACCGTGGGTCGTAACTGTTACTCCTATGCATCTCGCGCTCGCGAGGATCTGGACTATGGGATTGCTGTTGGTGGTGTTGCCAATCCGGGACACTCTGGTGATGCTTTAATTGATGCTGCGATTTGTGCCTCTTGTGAACAGTTTGTTGGTGAGGGTACGGGGGGTTAGGCGAGTGGTGGACAGGTGACGCATCATAATGCCTTCGGTGGATAGGTGGAGGAGGGGGAGGAGGTTGCCCATGAGGGTCATCATCTTCAAATCCGCCAAACATGTCTCCCCCGGGAATGTGATCATCTCCATAGGGGTCATAAGCTCCCGTAGCGACCGGCAAATGATCGGGTGCCATAGCCATGGATGAGCCTCTGGGATTCCGATGGTGGGGATGCTGAGGTTCAGGATATGAATGCTGGTTGTGAGGTTGGTTGTCCTCGTACCCGGAGCGATAGGAATGCCTCGATTGTCTGGTACGCTTTTCTGGTACGGGCACTGGCCGGCTGACATCCTCCTTTGAAGACCGGGTAGGATCCGGTGGTAAGGGCCGCCTCTTTACGGATTTATCCCTGGAACTAACCATTTCCCTAGCACCTCCAACCTTTCTCGCAGCTTCCTTCTCCCTTTCCCTCTCCTTTCCTCCCAAATCCCGCCGCGTCCTTTTCTTCTCCGCTGGCGGTTCAACGTTGTCTGGGTCATCGCTGTCTGGGCCATCGTAATAGGTGAGTTCAACCAAGATCTCCCCAGCATACCTGCCCTTACATCTCAATTCTCTCCAGCCATCATTGATTCCGCCTCCTGTAACCAAGATCTTATCTATCTTAAGGGTAGTCTCCCCTATAAGATCAGCTTTCTTGTCGTCATTAAAAACGGTAATTTTCAGAGTCTTGTAATCAGGAGACTCCCGTATTTTGAAACGAAGCTCCTCATCCCTATGGCAGGTTAGAATCCGGGCCAACATGTTGTTTCTATCGCCGGGGAAAAATCTTACCACCGAGGTGTTTGGCCCCCACGTACATCCGCATCTGTTCGCTGTGCATTCTTCCCGAGACGGACTACAACGTAGGGATCTTGCTTGCCAATTTTCTTCCTGTTGGGGAGATTTTTCTGCAAAAGTTAGCAACCATCAACCAGGCGGATATCGGGATAGGGGCGGTAGGAGATTGAAGTAAGACCCACAGCCTTATCCAATATAACGACCAGTTCCCCAATTTCCGGTCCATCTACTGAAAGATCAGACCAGATTCCCGCGGGATGAGCTTCCTTAATTCCTGCCCTAGGCATCGTGTTGCCGGATTCCTACAATCTCAGCACCCGATAACCCGTCGGCGGCGGGACAAAATCCGCACAATTCCAGTCAAGTGGAAGGAACGAAGAATAAACAAACTTGTTTAAAACCGAGTTCGTGAGAATGTGACGGAGGTGTAAGATGTAAGGTAGCAGTAGCGTGGTAGGGGACTTGAGAAAATTGAGAGGGAGAGGGAGGAAGAGACTGGCTCTATGGACCCCCGGAAATTCAACTGGCTGGATAGCAGAAACAATTTGCCAACTGCAGGACCTTTGGACGAATGGTTTCTTGCGGCGGGAGGTCCAGCAACGGGCGGATATGAGCTTGAGATTAATTGGCCGTAGGGGGGAGCAGCAAGGAGAGGAAGCAGGATAGGTTAGATGATAGGTCAGGGGGAAAGTACGCAGATAAGTGGGCAGAGTGGTTGGGGGGGGGGATAATGCGTGGCGCAGGTACAGTACTCGTATAGAGGGAGGCTGGTTTCGTTGCCGCAAGCAACGGTGATCCCCGTATTTAATCCAACCCCCCCGAAAAGTTGGCTCTGAAATGATAGCCTCGCGGAAAAAAAATTGACGACCTCGCTTAGCTAATATATACCATGTCTCTCGCTTTGGAGTCGCCCTTTCAGCTCAACCCCTTGATTGATCGATGGCAAAAGGAGAAGATATGTAAACAGATGCTCATGCTCAACCAGGCAATTTATCCGCTTATCGCTTTATCTCTCCGCTTGTGGGGGGGATGGGGGTGGCGCATCATATGTCGAGGGAGTTTACTGACTGAGAAAGGCAAGTCAAGTGCAGTACCGTACCAAAAACCGCGCTCCTTTTTGTTCTTCGAGAAAGAAGGGCACCATGCATGATCTTTTATCGCAGGATTGCGGACCACGTTTCCCACCCGCACTTTACCGGTGGTGATGGTAAGCTTGGTATCATAGTAAAAGGCTTCGCCTCACCCAGGCCAATCTCTGGAGCCGCGCAAGTTATTTGCAAGGCATCATACCTGTATTGTAGCTGGGGGGGGGGGAGCTGTCAAAACTTCCCCCTCCGATCGGTCGCCCCCGGCGGCTCAAGAACTTGAGTAAAGGCGAAGGCGCAATCCATGCTGATCGATCTTCGGAAATTAAAAATAGGTTTGTACTACAAGTGCTGTAAAAATTTACCCTATGATAATACTCGTAGCATACCGGTAACTCGGGTGATTTTCAATCCGCGGCGGGGGGTGTATCCCCATAGAAACTAACCAACCATATCGGAATGGTCCCTGTTTCCACCCGCACAGCAGCAACGCTCCTAGGCCAAGTCAACCTTCCCGCATATCATACTATACTTGCTTGATAGCTCTACCACGGTAGCGTCGGCCCAGGGTACAAATCCTCGGGCCGCCATATTCGGCCATGACACCTGTGTGCCCGTACCTCACTGTAATGCAATCGGATGCTGTGGGCCGGGCAGCAAGCAGAAGTAAACCTTTCCACCACCAGAGGTTCCCCCTCCACGGGCAATAACATGCAAAATCGATGGCTGGGCTTTTTGTCTTGAAAAGTTGGACTTGGTCTACCGCTACCTTTAAAGACTGTCTGGCATGAAAATTGCCTGACTCCCATACCGCCCTGTTGACACCACCCACCAAACTATCCCACGGTACTCGAGTGCCGCATTTATGCGCCCACCACCGCCTACAGTTCAGTGCCCACCTACCATCTGTAGATCCGCCGTACAGTACATAGAGTACCCACCCTACCGTACGATACACCCCTCACGAGTGCAATCACGCAACTTCAACACAATATAGACTCAAGCATCATCCCCCCCCCCTTACATGCTGTAGTGAGACCACAATTAAAAGCCCTTGGCCAAATCCCATCTCCTCGACCACATCCACGGGTGGTTGGGGAATGTGGGCGTGAGGTGCTCCTGCCGGTATGTTATTGGCAAACAAAACAAACTTTAGGCGCTCCCTCCCCCCTTTGCGCCCGGCCCGAATTGCGGGTGAGTAAAGGGAGTATGTATGGTATGATACCGGTGGTCAATATGCATCCGGCGCACCATAGGCAATACTATACATACATTCAGGAGCCCGCTCGCCACCACCCACTGACAAAACAAGCAAGCCTTCCCCCACAGGCGCCATAGGCATGTACTCGGGTATGGAGGCTAGTGATGATAGGGACAGGGGTATGGTGGCCGAGGGCATATCTACGAGTACTATACACATTCCCGCCCAACACATTCCCGCGCCATGCGCATATGTCTTCGGCCACCCATACCTCTGTCTCTCTCATCACGAACCCCCATACCCGAGTACGTACTTGTGCCGGTACACCACAGCAGCCCAGCTCGGGACCCTCGAACCGCAGTGCCGCGCAATTACCCAAAAGGCGATATCCAAGACACGGTACTCGAGTACAGTACAGTACCATAGCCAAGCAATCCCAGAGAGGCGCAAATACACCTCCGAGCCTATGGGGGCCTCGTCACGCATGTTTGCCCACGCGTCCACAAATGACAATACCGGTGGGATAATACAGCGTTCGCCCTGCCCGGCTTCCTTCCTACCGGCTGTACGGCATAGCATTACAAACTCTACCCTACCGCGCCGATCCTGCCCACCGCACCTCGATGTTTTCCACTTCCAAGCCTGCCTACCGACACCCGTGATTTGTCATGTCATGCTCGTGCCACCTGAAATTAACTACTGGTATTAAAATAGCCTCACGAGTGAGATTTAATGATCCGCTGGCTAGCTGATCATTTAGGCTTCTCTGAGGCGCAGCGGAAAGTCAAGTACCAGTATCCTAGATGCCTTGTGAAGGGAGGGAAGAACATCACGGATGATGCCCCAAGACGGGGGAAAAGAAAAGAAGTTTGCGCATACCGGTAGACTACTTTTATCCTCCAAGTTAGGGGGACTCTGAACCGCAGCCTCTCATAATATTATCATGCAACCTGTACTGTACAGTACCGTACAATATACCTACAGGTAGTCTTATCACTAAGCCTCGCTTATCGGTCGGTCGGAGCTAGTGCGCGCCCAATGATTTCGATGGTAGACTACCCTACCCTATGACATGATACTTTTGGCAGGGAATCCTCTCGGCCTCTTCAACCAGGACTTATTACATACTCCAGTAGCATCGAAAAAAAAAAACCCCCCGCGGGAACAAAAGCTCCCCCTCCGCAGGAGAAACCGCGCCCATAGTTTCAAAAAACACCATAGTCAAGAATCGCTCCTGTCCTCGCCAACCCTGCAACAGCAACGTACAAAGTCAACCACAAAGCCAGGGACGAGGGGGAGGTATCATATTAACACTGATTTTGATCGGGATTAATGGTTTCCGTGCGGTTACAGCGCGACCTAATCGTCTCGTAGCGCAAACTTTCTATTATGTTGCCAGCACCTTAGAAATCTACCCAGTGCCATCTGCCCATAGAGTCGGGGCACTAACTAGTCCTAATGTGGTACTGTACTGTACAGTACGTGACCATACTGCTTTAGGCAATACGCAGGTGTATAACTCAGCCAAAACCCTCCTGTCCCAGAACAGTGCCAACCCTCCCCCAGCTTCACCCAAATTTTACCTCAACTTTAAGAGCCATTACAGAGAGAACCACGCCGCTAGAATGGAATCGTGTTCTTTATATCTTTTGGGGTGATTGTGCAGAAGGAAAAAGTACAATAATGATATTATGTGATGTTTTTGTTGCCCACCGAAAAAGTTGGGAAAGTTTGGTTGTTGTGAGAGGGTTGTTGATTCCAAGGTGCTGTACTGTACCACCACTATACAGCACCCGACAGCGGCCGGAAGACATTGGTTTTTCTGACACATGTCTTGACGCGTAGGAGGATGTGTATCATACCCCATATGAAAGTTGATTAATGCTCAAGCGTAAGCCATTACCTACCGGTTGAGAAGGACAGGAAAGACGCGGCTGGCTGGTCTAGGTCTGCGGTATCGGTTTCATTAATGGAGGGGCTATATGTGTGACCCTACCTACTGCCGGCACTCGAGAGTTCTGAATTGAAAGTAGTCTATACAGTAGAGATGGTTACATCACCTTATTCACTTGTACAGTAATCCGGAGTTCTAGCGACGCGCCGTAGAGGTGGTGATTGTAGCACTGGCAGTGGAAAACGCAGGTGGTGTTATTGATACAACTAACTATCATACAATAGCATATATCACCCACCTATCGATCGTACATACAGCAAGTTTAAAACGCCTACGCTGACCGCGATATCCCGTTGCGCGAGTTCTCATCGAGCATCTAGTCCTCGAGTAACTTAGTAGCACACAAGTCTTCTCTATCACCGCTGTTCCCCCAGCACTGAACCCGCGATGGCTCCAATGGCAACGAGCCGGGTTGAAAAAGGATCGATTTCGCGGATCCGTGTAGGATCCGCTATGGTATTCGTTACTAACGATGGGATAAGCGCTGACTTACTCTTTTTAGCTCCAAGTGGGAGGGGGGGTCTTCCATCTCCAAGCTCAATTGTAGTACCAAAATTTCAATCATGAGTTATTGTCTCAAGCAGGGCTCGAGCAGTTATCGCACTTGTGCCCGGTTGCCGTGCTGGCGACCCGGGATATCCGGGAAATTCTGTGTTGCGGACATCCCCTCCAATAGCCCACCTGTTTCACCGTTCAAGAGAGCTGCTAGAGCGATGGGAGAGAGCGCATCCGGTCGGTGAAGGTATCTAGTCGAAGAGGGATTGTACTAGCGATCCCCTAGAAAGAGATTTCTTTTTTTTTTTAAAAAAAAAAAAGAAGGAAAGAAAAGTAGCGATGGAATGACAATATATTATAATATTATAATTCCCGAAAGGAAAACACAAATAGCCAAAGAGCAATTTCCCATTCGGGTGGGTTACCTCCCCTTATGGGGGGGGGGCTGTATAACTCCCTGAATCCCAACAGTTAAGTATCAGTTTCCCTAGTCTTTAGGATTACGAAAGCGACCACGGAATGTCAGCGAGTGCATACATGTTACATAGATCGCGCCCCTGAGGAGAAGGGTAGGACAAACTTACTCCGGAGGGGCAGGGACTGGTATGATATCGTATGTATAGGGGATCGGTCCGGGCAGCTTAGGAGTTACGACTGACTAATTTTTTTCTTGATAGTCACTATGTGTCACTCGTTATTTTTCCCTTGCAGTTATGTCTAATTGATCTTCACTTATTCCCCTTATTTATTATTCCCCAAGGATTGTGGGTAACCAAGCATTCCCAGCCCTGTAGATTTCCCCTTTCTATCATAGACATTCCATTCTTGGATCGCCATTGGGCGTTCAGGTTGGCTGTCCGGGAGCCTGGCAACAATTTCTCGCAACAATTTCTAACCTATCATACCGTCAAGAGGGGGAATAAAAGTATCCGGGTGAGCAACAAGAGCTCCGCACTACCCAACACAAGTAAAAGCGCAAAAAATTAAGGCAAGGGGGAACCGGAGTCAGTAAGATTGCACGTTTAGGTGAAAAAAGTTCTACACCGATGGCTGAACTACGCCACCCTGATGGATGTATAAGGTTGACATAATATTATCATACCGGTATCATGACTCTCGCCATTGGTCACTACAGCGGTGGAACAGAGCCATCACCCGATCAGCGTACGAGATATTACGAGCGGTTCACACACGGGTGTTCGAGCATACCCCCCCCAGAGCATCTAACTTACTCCTTAGCCCATTCCGGGCTGTGTTTTAGCGTCCGGCACCAGAGCAGGGATCCACGCTTGGCCCTTAGGAGGTATGATACACCAGCGGCAGTCTGTATAAGTCAGCGCACCGATAAGTCTATTTTCCACGGTGGTATCATAGCCTAGTCAACAATACGGATCAGGTTTGCGGTTACGGCAGGGCTACTGTGGGTCGGATTGGCCCATAACCTACCACATGGAGTATCATATGTTATTATGTAATTGGCGAAGGCTACTTGTCTATCATACGCTGTGAGCTCGTCTGTCTTTGTAACGGCTGGGCAAGCTTCGAGAGACTCCGAAGGGCAATCCTAATGCCCTCCGGGACATACCCTGTCTCAACTCACTGGCTAACATCCGAAGCACAACCTGGATCCCCGAAATTTTCCGGTCCGTCCCCGAAAAGCTCCCGCCAAACTCCACCCCCACCTCGGAGATACGATAGCATCACCCCCCACCAACCCCCAACCCTCCCGAACGGAGCTCCGGTGCGTACGATATAATCTAGACCCACGCACCGGACATTAACCTCGAACCAGCACAAGGTCACTACGATATGCAATCTCCCCATGGTGTGAGGAAAAACGAAAGTAAAAAAAAAAAGGCACAACTACAAACAACGATTAACATTCATGACTACATTGACTAGCACCACAAACGAGAGGAAACACCCCAAATCAGAACGTTCCTCATACATGGCATGACATGACATGAGACGAATAAAAATCAGAAAGAAACCATAAATGCAACGCTAAAGCAAACTTTATCGCCCTTGCCCTGCTGTACCGAAGAGAAGGGAATTGCACGAAATGGCGGCAGATGAATGATGAATGAGAATGGATGGGGATGTGAAAGGTGATAAATAAGTACTATAGGGGAAGGAAGCGAAAAGATGGGGAAAGAAATACATTAAAGGTAGGTAACCTTAAGCAAGACATAGCTCAACAGTATAACAATAAAAATTCACGAGTGAGAACCCATGCAACGTCTAGACATAACGTAACCGTGATACAAAAGTTAGCCAAGAGGAATAAATGAAAAAAAAAAAAAAAGGAAACAAAAGGCGAAAGAGCGGGAAAGAAAAGAAAGAAAAAGGAAAGGGGAAAAAGGATAAGGTGCTGAAAGCTATCCGGAGCTGGAGGGAAGAAACAAGACGAAACGAAACGAAACCACCCGGGACGGACAGCCCCCCAAAAAGCAAGAGGCCCGGCATCGGGGATGTCTAGTCACCACCTCACTCACCCCCACAGTTTCCCCGGCCCCGCCAAAAACAGCGACGTCTGCGTCGTTTCCGTGGCCTTGACTTCACTGAAGCCCTTTTTATTCTTCCCTATCCTTGCCGCAGGCTCCGCCTGCTTATCCGCATCCGCCCCGGCCCCCTCACCATCCACTCCCTCTTCTTCGCTAGAATCCCTCCTAGTCAAGCCCTGCAAGCTCCCGTCTACAGAGTGGGTGTTGTCTAGGAGGTGCGGCCATGGCATACCGGTTCCTGCTGTTGGTTCTGCAGTTGGTACGTGTCTGGTTAGCTTTCCCACTTTTTTCCAATCTGTTTCATTTTTTTCTTTGGTGCAATGCAGCGCAAAAAAAAAATCTCATTAGATGAGAACGAAATTTATGTAGGCAATGATGGGTGGGATGGCTGCGTTGGGATTGGGTATTGGGTGCAATGGATCTCCTACAGGAAGGACGGTTCGCCAATACCGTCACTGGTAAGGGCATCTCATCTCTATATAAGGGAAAGTATTGGATAGGCAGATCTGGCCCGCAGGCTGGCAAGGTATTGGGTGCCACATGGCACAAGAGGGATAGCAAGGGGGCGGGGTATCGCAGGAACAGCCCCTGGGAAAAAAGGAAAAATCGTGAGTTAGATGACAATGCATGGAGATATGACGTGTTCTATCTTTTTTGATAGAACGAAGTCTAGAAAACGAAAGAAATGTATTTTTCTTCTTCCCTAGACAAGTGATGCGGTAGTTCTGGCTTGATTTTTTCCCTCTCCTTTCTATGTGCCTTTCATCTCCCGGCATAACTGCATCAAAGTTGAGTAATAAAATACCAGCAAATAAGGTTGAAGTAGAAAAGGATGCCACGAATTATTGCGAAGAGAAAAAAAATAGGTAAAAGAAAAGGGAAGAAAAGAAAAGAAAAACAGCGCTAGAGTTAAAATATAGGGGGATATGAAGGTGCTATGGGTTATTCTGTGATATGTGAGAATATAACTGGTTTACTCACCCAGGAGATCCCTATTTCCGATACCCCCTCTAACGGCTTCCTCTGCCACAATTCCTGCGGTCCACATTGGATCATCCTCATCAAAACCACCATGAACAGCCCCAAGCGCGCCAGTATAGCCATTATTTACTCTGGATCTATACACCAAAGCGGTCTCCAAACGACTGATATACTGCGGCGTCTCTCTTTCATCCTCAGGCGGCTGCCAATTGTTGACTTTCAGCTCCGTTATCGCTGGCAACTTTCCACTGGTGTGATTTGAGTGGCCATTAGGGAGTGGTGGATTTTCCCTGTTGGGTTGAGAGTCCTCGTCCCCAAGCATCACGTCCTTCTCGTTCGCTTGGGGATCGAAAGCCTTATCTTCCTCTTCCTCTTCGAAAAAGTCCTTCTCCACAGAATTGTGACGCCAGCAGAACCCCATCCAGGCTCTCCAGATAGGATCTCTTCCCAAGATCCAGGGATTCCCAATGACGATCAATCCTTGTTTCGCCCGCGTCATAGCTACACAGACTCTTCTGTTTTCAAATATTACGCCTAGACCCCTTTCAAGGTCTCCCTCTAGAAATCGTTCACGAGACCTAGTAGTGCAAACTATAACAAACCTATGTTCGCTACCTTGATAGCTCTCAATAGGGCCGACATTCACGTCCCGAAGATTGTAATCTGGCGACCGAAGCGCTCTTCTTAGACGCCGAATTTGCTCTCTGAATTGTGCCATGATAGAAATTTCATGGGGTGCAATGAGTCCAGACGAAACAAGATTTTTCGCGATATTGCAGGCAATTTTTATCTCGCGGAGGTTGTAAAACGAGACCCCCTCTTCATGCCATTCATCCATCCCTCCATTAAGACAGAATTTCACGGGGATCCCTCTCCTACCCTTCCATCCAGACCACCCCTCTAGATAATTCGTATTTGACGCCTCAGGGACCAGAGTGTCATTGTAGAAGAGAGCGCTTGGTACAGCCAGAATTGCTGGATGAGAGCGGTAATTCCGAATTAAATTCGTAAACGGCGGGCGGAGATACGGCTAAGTAAAAGTCAATATACTAAAGGTGGAATTCTTGATCCATGTAACGCACCAGTAATGCCTTCTTCCTCTCTAGAATTCTCTCCGCACTCCATACCCGAGGGCTCTGCTTGTAAGCATGCGTAAAGCTTTGCCTAGCCAACGGATGCTGGCTGTAAAGCTCTCGTAAAAAAAGCCTCTCAAACAGACTCATATCAAGCTGTGGTACCCTGCTGACAGTTCTTGGTCCCTAAATCATCCTGTATTAGCAAGTTCTGGCTAGGCTCCCATTGTTGGAAATGGTCACTCACCAACTGCCTCTGATCACCCGCCATGACAAAAATTGGCCTATCAACGCTAGCTTCCTCCGGGGGTACTACAACAGAAACTGCAACTGCGACTTCCGGTTCGATACCTTGCGCCGCTTCATCCAGTAGCAGGGCTGTCCAGTGAACATTTACGATCTGCCCTTTCTCCACCACTCCACTGGCCGTTGGGTCATTGCCATCGCTCTCATCTCCAATTCCCCTCAACGAATCAAAAACACTCTTCTCCCACCTTGCTAAATCCTTGTTAGTACACCTAGCCTCTACTAATATCTCTGCATCTCTTGTGGAACAGACAACCACTCTAAACCCCATCAGCTTTTTCCATTCCGGCAGTGAGAACATATCATTCGCTATGTGAGAATAAGGCAACAATTCAGAAGGCACCTCGGGAAAGGTTCTGGTACTCGACTGAAGACGAAACAAAACCCTAGGGTTCAGATACGGAACCAAACGCAAGGCAAGAGTATCTGCAGCCTCCTGTGATGGCGCACAGAGGAGAATGTGATGCTTTGGATTGGAGGGTGTGAAGATGAGTTGCAATGCTAAGAAGAAATGAGTGCACCCTAGTCAGCCTGCGTTCCCTGTCCAATAAAGGGCACCATTATAATCGGATGATGAAAACTCTGCCCATACCCACTTCCACAATAGTCTTCGTTTTCCCTGTTCCTGGAGGCCCTGAGATCAGGTATGGAACGTTTCCGTAGTTTTGCTGAAGAATGGTATCGACTGCTTTCTGTAACATCACTACTTTTTAGCCTTCTTCCCCTGTTCCTCTACTTCCACATTTCCTTCGGAATAACCAGTCTAAGTCAGGGCAGGTCCGTTATGCTTTGCACCGTCCACAGCAAAATCGGATCATAGTACAATTCATCTACCAACACACAGATTCGCCCTCCTATAATACAACCATGGAAATAAAAGCAAAGAACGAACGAACGGTTTGTGATCCCAACCCAGCGAAAAGCTCCTCTTACCTGTTGCTCATAATTCAATTCCCTATCGAACCACCGCCGTTTAAATACTCCCCTACTAAGCGTCGTCTGCCAGATCCCGTCTTCCTTCCCGGGGAATAACATTCGTCTTACAAATACCCCGGGTCTGTTATTTGCCTCGACTCCGTTACCCTTAGCGCCCTCGGCCACCTCTCTGGAGCCAGTTCCCCTGAGCTCTGCTCCCAGGTCCTCAATAGCTCTGGTAGCCCCAGTCCATTGCTTTTCCTGGACAACGAAACAAACATTAAAGCGTCCTGATTCAAGCACCAAATGATCCACCCTAAGAACAATGTACCCGACAGTTTTATCCATACCATAAACGCAGGCATCGTATTGATATCCAGTGAAGGTACCTCCCATCCCCATGTAGCCTGGTTGTCTGACTTGTCTAAGCTTTACTACATCCCCTAGCAGTACTGGAGGATTATCTTCTCGGATGCCTGGGACGTCAAGCCTATAAAGGCTCTGAGATGGTTCCTGGACATAAATCGGGACATTAAAAAGGTCGTATTTCCGAAATTCCGTGTGTTGCGCTGAAAGCTCGTGGGATAGAAGATTGAAAAAGTACTTAGAATATATTGTTGGCGTGAGGTCCGACGATGGTACCGGTACGGACGCGCTCGGCACTGGAGGAACAGCAGGAGCGGGCGGCAGAGGCCTTAGAAATGTTGAACCGCAAAATGAAGATATGAAAGAGTGGTAAGGAATGGAAGGTGCCGGCAGAGAGGCGACAAGCACAGCAGGGAGTGTATTGATCGCCTGCAGATAATGCGGTATGAAGGGGAGAGTATAAACATCCGGCTGCCAGGGTTTTGGGGAGGAGGAGCTGGCTCCTGGCGTCAGTTGACTCGAAGGGCTGAAGGGGGGCTGGAGGGGATTCGGACGAAAAGGTTGAGGTGGATGCATTGCGATGCCTTGCTGTTGGCGGTGTTGTTGAGCATTGTGTGGCAGCGATGCCTGCTGCGGGGTCCGTGATAAGGGAGGCTGGAAAACTCCCGAGGGAAAAGTAGGTGCATTGTTGCACTTAGCCACCATGGCATATGACATTGCTGTGGTGGGCAGAGCTTGCGACGTCGATGAAAGAGGTGTGTGGGAGGTATTGGGGACGTAACCTGCGGCTTGTGAAGCTAGGGGAGAGGGAGGAACAATACGCAGTGGGGTTGGAGGAGACATGGAGAGCAGGTCTAGAGCTTGAGCTGCTCTTCGTCTAGTCTTCTCTTCCTCTATTTTTCCTCCTATTTCAAGCGTATGGATCCTCAGAACTTGGATATAGATTCAGCACCGCGTCGTTATCCCTGGACCATTCGGCGGTTGGATTTTTTTTCAACCTATGGAATGCCAGAAACACCGGGTCGGGGGGAGGGGGGGTAGAAGTGGGAAGGGGATGTGAGGAGGGAATAACGTCAACAAATCTCGTTGTAAAGTTCCAGCTAAAGGTTACTAGCTCCTAATTTCTCCCTCCGGTTAAGAGGACAAAGGTGTGCTATACAACGCCCTCAAAGTCAAGGGAGTCGGTTAAATAAAGGGTAAAGGGTGAGGGCGCGAGACTTGTGATGCTTTTCTCTTAGAGAGAAGAGGGAAGTAAGGGGAAAGCTCGAAGGGGAACCTGTCACGCAGTCGAAGCACAGAAGCGGACGGGGCAAACGAAAGCCCCGGACACCGAAGCAACGGTTCAGGGAATCCGTTCATCAGTGTTTCTGCGCAATAAACGAGGCTCAATTAGTCTATCAGCATGTAAACCAGTTCAACGTAAATGTCAGGGTACTCAAGCATAAGATGTGGGGTCAGGCTCGAAACTATTGTTTGTCCTCGACACCCTCTGCTGTAACATCAGCCGGGTAACTACTTGATGCATTGGTGAGAACAGTAGGCTAATTTAACGAAGAGAGCTTGAATCCTTCGATTGATATACCGTGATTTGTCTCGATAGTACTGCATACTTATCCGCAGGCGATATGCCATGCATACAGAATCTCTGCACCCTGAGAGTGTAGGGGAGCATGAGGCCAATACCCAAAACTATCACAATCCCGGCTCGAATGAGACGCCGGTATATCTTGTTACCTTATGATACTTGAGTATTTGCCCAACTTTCAGCCTACCACTGTTAGGTGGTTCTTTTGCTAGTATGATACCCCAAGCTTTCACGTCGTGACCTAGCATCTGTATACAATTATTGTGCCCTGGCCGTACCTGAACCAATTGAAGGGTTTAGCAAAGGAAAAAAGGAAAAAAAACTCTACTGCTGTTAGGTGGCAGTTACTGGTATAATGATAATAAGGCTAGTGTGACCGATGGGTCAGTTTCGTGTAACAAAGATATGCTAACATTCTACTCGCTGTTTTTTGGCCAAGATTTGATGTACCCGCTTCCTAGCGTGAACGGTTGCTTCGAAACTCTTGTAGTAGAGGTTCGTAGATGGGTTGGAATCCATTTCTTCCTTGGAGAGATCAGGGTGTTTTGGCCCGAGATTTTCTGAGGTTTCTAAACCCTTCCTCCCTCTGCTGCCATCATGGGCTACACTCGAGCCCGCACCAGAGGTTCGGGTCTAGAAAATATTTAGTAAAAACAACTTAGTGGCAGTAGATTTACTCAGTGCTTAGTCCAAAACTCATACTGCGCTTCCCACAACATATGGGGGGCCAAAATTTTGCGGAGTAGTAAGAGTATATGTTTCACCGGCAAACTATTGTCTAGATTTTGAGAGCCGAACCCTAGAGTACTAACGGTATGATATATCATATACTACGAGTAGGCTCTGGTTAAAAGAAATTCCGACCTCCCGAAAAATAAACTTGCGCGTCAGGGGCTAAGCTTTTTTTTTTCTTTACCCTTTCGTTTCCCCCCCCGCCCTTTTTTTGTTACATCTGTTTGATTCAGGTGCAAGACTAGAGCTCACTCGTGGTATACAACCTAGGTTATGATATAACATAAAGGCTTAAAACACTATCAATATCCTACAGAAGGGAGAAAAAAATCCAAACCCTGTCCAGTGCCCTCTAATCTTAAAGTCTCTCCAACATCACGGAACCAACTACACATCCTCCCCCTATATATCATAAGAAAAGGTATGAGAAAAAGCAGGCAGAGAAGGGAAACACCATTAATAGACACCATAGTAAAACGAAAAAATTCCCAAACATTCTGGGCCAAAAAACCAACAATTCATCTTATTTATTGTAAGTACATAGAAAAACAAGAGAGGATCTTTTCTTGTTTTAAAGACCAAGAAACTTGTCGTTTTTCGACATCTGCAGCACCACAGCCATGGGTGCTTAGTATCTGTGTAACTTGAAATATACTCTACGTCAACTGAAAATAATGTAATACTAGCACTCATAGTCTTTGCTTAGAATATATAAGCCTCAATGTATTTCTTCATACAATTAAAGACACAGATGAGAAGGATGTTATTTTTTTTCTGTAATTGAGGAGGCAGATGGGAAGCATGTGATATATATTTTACAAGTTTTTCTTGTAAAGCCTAATGTCTCTAGGTATAGGAGCTTATAAAACTCCAAGTGTGGCTTGAAGGGAAGATTGTCAAAATGTTTGGTATTCTCCCTATAACTTATTCACCTTCTGAATTATGAAAGTGGAAGGTAGGAAAAGGAAAGTTGAGAAACAGAGAGCTTATACACCTTTTTGCTTCTATTGACATTGATGGTAATTAAATTTTAAACAATCCTATAGTATCTTGTTTTCAAAATATCATCAAATCTATAAAACAAAAGAACTTTTGAATATAAAATAAAGCACCTTAGGAGTGTGCTTAGCTGTTACCATTTGAAATCATGTCTTGATAAATACAACATAAATTATCACTACTCATAACTTTCTGATATTTGTAAATACGACTAGGTTTGTATAAGCAGTCAAGATTAAACATATCAGACATGCATGAAGTACCTTTCAGAAGATTTCAGGGGAGAATCATAAGGAAGCTATAATAAGTGTTTTAGAGAACTAGAAAAAAATGCAATAACAAGTATAACAGATAAAAAGAAAAATACAATTATAGAATAATTACACAGCAGTTGTAATGGGAGCTCTCTCTGAGAAGATAGATCCTGAGGTTGTGACAGCAATGAGATAAATTCTTCTGGGAACAAGTATAATAAAATTTCAAAGTCTCAGCAGTAGAGTTTGAAGAAACAAAACAGTAAAACTTAATATCATTAAGCTACAGCTTTACTCAATTAAGTCCTCATCTTAAGAGGTAGTTGATTGCTAGAGTAGAGGGGAACTTGCATATACTTAAGTAGATTTCATATACTACTAGTTGCTTCCCATCACTGCTGATCATTTGCGAGTATGCAACTTCCTTGGGCTGTCTAGCAAACCTCCACAGTCAGACCAAAAATCCTTGGTAGCGAACTAGACTACTCTGTGGTTTGCTAACATCTACCAGATAGAAGTGTGTTAGCCACTACATCTACAATGCAACTGGAGGAGTAAAAACTCTTCTTATTATAGACATGTTAGTGGCGAGCTATCATGCCTAAGTGGATGCAATACCAACTATGGAACTCTCTCCCCATATAAACTTAGTCTTCTACAAACATCCACAGTCCCTGAACATCTATCTGGTTCTATTCTACTCTATATGATTCCAGATAATAGCCATATAGCTCTCTCAATAGACCTATTCTATTAGGTAGAAACAACCTGTATAGACTCAGAATTGTTTAGGCTAACTAAGATTCGTTTCTGAAAATAGAGATTGTCTAAGAAGGCTGGAAATACACTCGTTTTATTTATGATTACTAAGAGCAAAGTGGAGTAATTAAAGTAGAATAGAATTGTATGAACAATATTATATTATTAAGGTCTCTTCTCTATTGCTTGATAGTATCTAAAAGCTTGGAAGACACTTCGATATTTATGTTCTGTGTCTGAGTGTTTGCAAACTACATCTATCTATTATACAAACCATGTACCTCTCTATTTATAACTCACAACATTGGGTATTCTTCAAAGATATGAACAACTGGAGACCCTGAAAACTACTACACACTCTTCGGTAATTATAGTATTATTAACTAGGAAATATTCTATTCCCAATAGTAATTATCCAATCTTCAAAATCATTAAACTTATGAGTGAGTTCTCAAGTTGAACTGAGTTGGCCCCAATTGTTTTCCTTATCAATGAAATGATCAGTTTTGTCTGCAGGTTGTATCAGTAGAGGTAGTCACAATTTCAATCTTCTTAGATTGCCTGACTGCTAACTTCAATAATTTTGGATCCAACTGATAAATATTTTCCAGATAACCTTCAACTAATCCACAGGAAGCCATTCTACTAGATTGGTAGATAATCTCTCAGTCAGCAACTCTTGGTTGTTCTGGGTAACAGGATTCCAGTTGTTGTTCTCGTGTTAGAAATTATTTCCACAGCTACAATACATTCCTAGACCCAGTTGTAACACTCTATAAAGTCTCTTGCCTTCTGTAGTAGTGTTTTTCAGAGTTCTAGACTGTTCTAGTTATCATAAGATGGGTGTAAATATATTAGTCTCTTGTAAAGATCCTTTAATATTCAATACTATTTCTTTGTGCAAAAATGTCCTGTTACCTATAGCCCATACCAAATTTGTTGCAAGTTTGAAGCCTAGTAACTCTCTGGGTAGTTGATAGATTTACTCTGTTCTACTTCCCAGACTTAGCTGAACGTCCCCTCTTATATACTCTGTGAACAGCATCAGGTTGGATAGATGGCAGAGATGTATCTAGTATTATTCTTACATCTTGGATTATGTAGCCCTATAGTCACAAGACGAAATTGAGATAAGTACAGATGATGACATGCAGGCCCTGTAAACGGGCTAGAGGGGGGTGTTGGAGATCAGAGATTCCGATTCCAAGTGGTGTTACCCTACTTAGAGTCATTCCTAGATATCAGATCCTGGTATTCCTAACACCTGCGGAGGTTGACTGCTAATAAGCGCTACCTACAGTCAACTCTCCTCAAAGTAGAACTCATCTTGATTTCAGACTAGTGTCTTTGAGTCCTTAATGATTCCCTAATACGATTACACTTTCAGGGCAATGGACTTCAGTTACCTCACCCATAGGCCTCTTGTAACCAGTACAGGTACTCGATTAATAGTTTTATTTTATGTTTTGTCTTAAGTATCGCTTAGATACTTGGTTTGTTTTAAGTATTGTTTGATACATAGTTGTTTTATGTTTTGTTTTAAGTATTACTCTGATACTTGTTTTGTTTTAAGTATCTAAGTATAATGGCTAAAGTAGACCCGCCTCGCATGGTTCC